TTGATCCGTGACCAACTAATTTTGAAATCTGTGACCAACGAATTAAATGCGACCTATAAAATTTTTGAACTGTGATCACAAAATAATCTGTGACGTATAAAAATTATTATTTGTGACTGAAAAATGTCGCTGGAATGATCGCCGAAATAGTCGCCAGAATCTGAGCAGTCACCGGAATGGTCGTCGAAGAAGAGTGTCGCCGAAGAAGAGTAGTGGTCGGAATGGTTGTCGAAATAGTCCCCGGAGCAGTAGGGATGATGCATGTGGGGTGGGTTTATTATATTATATTATATTAGAATTCAAAAAAAAAANGGGTCGCCGGAATGGTCCCCGGAGCGATAGGGGTGATGCATGTGGGGTGGGTTTATTATATTATATTATATTAGAATATAAAAAAAAAAAAAACCTGATTTTTGAATTTTCAAACTATAAACATGATTTTTGAATTGATGTAAACTAAACACCTTATTTATAAATTTTTCCCATGAATAAATCTTACCACTAATAGCCTAAATTAATCATAGCCTTTTTAGCTAATTTAATCAGTTCAAGATGCATTGAACCCCCAACCTAATGACACTAGAGTAGGGTGTGACTCTCCACTCCTGGATTCCATCCAACATGCATATAATTACACACACAATGTGTCTGCGGAAATTCATATACATTAGGTTAGGTGGGACCCAAGAATCCACCTTTGTTTTTTCCTAATTTTCTCACTTCGAGCCAAGAGATTTAATTGTCACATTCTTATGAAGTGATATTCAAGTTTCAACTTGTGTAAACAAAGTCATTGTGAATCCCGTAATCCATGCAAGATTCCAACCACTAGATAACATTCTTAATATTTTCGACCTGGTTTACGTGTATTATTGATGATGATAAATGAACATATCGACTTCCTTGAGCTTTACCGTGTTAAAAATATTTTACGACTTTTGTCTGTCTACTCTTTATTGCCCTTTTTTCGCCTTAAAAAAAATTCGTTCCCTATTTGTGTAGCCAGTAAACCAGCTAGTGCCAGTTCTAGAAGTAGTGAGCCCGTAATCCTCGTTATGGTAATGTCAATGCCGCTAAGGGCACTCATGTGGCCCATTCTCGTTCGCATATCCAAGAAGCTTAACACCCTTACTTAGACAAAGTTTGTGTGAAGTAAGCAGCTTAGTAGGACTCAAGCCATCGTTGAATGGTATGAGTATGATAGCGTGTATAGCGCGAGGAGGACAAAGGGGAGTGACATTTAGAGTACGTTTGATTTGCCATTTTGAGGCCAAGTTTCAGATTTCAGTTTTCTAAAACAATCAAAACGTGTTTGGTATGTTATTTCAAAAATGAGTTTTCAAAAACAAGGAAAATGTGACAACATAAAACTCAAAATGATTTTTTGACGTTTTGAGTGTTTTCATTACTCAAAACAAGGAAAATAAACTTAACATTTCTCAAACTAAAATAATTGATAAAATCACACAAAACCTACCCAAATACAAATACCCAAAAAACTAAATAATCACACATACGCATAAAATTGATATGTTTTACTAAATAATCAAATTAATTGAAAAAAAAATGTCATAAAACTATTTCTAAATTTTTTAAACCAAATGTGTTTTCTAGTTTTTTGTTTTGAGAAACAGTTTTCGGAGCAACAAACCAAATGCCTTTTTAGCAATTTTATAATAATCCCTCAAAACAAAACAAAAATGAATTCTAAACTGAAAACAAAAAACAGAAACGCAAACCAAACGCACCCTTACCCTTTTTTTTAATAAGATTTCCACAGTACTCCAATAGTGAAACGGGGAAAGAATATAGAAAAACATGGAAACTTTTGGCATAGCTAAACTTCAATTCAAAGAATAATTACCAATCTAGAATTATAAATGCAGCACGTCGACGTCCTTTCGATCAACATGACATAAACATGCATCAAAGTTGGATTGTACAAATGTTTTCGAGTAAACTAAACTTTAGAACACAAGTTCAAAATTTTAGTGAAACATTGGATTTCTTGTGTCATACAAAACAAAATGAGTCAATGTTGGTATAGACCGCATTCAAGTTAAATTAGCGAAGGCACATGACCCTGGCCAATTTGGATGGTGCACAATCCAAAATGCAGTAAGTGCCAACTGCAAGAAGAATCGAAATTACCTTGATCATTGAAGTGAGGGGTTTCACGTAGAAGATGAATTCCTTTCAGCATGTAGCAGTCGGGTAGGAAGAAGCACGACTAAATGGTCCAAATCCTCCTTACCAGTTTTAATTCCCCTTCCTTTTCAAATGCCATTGTCATGGATTTGTTTCGTCGTCTCTTTCAAATTTGAACCATTTCCAGTTAGCATACAGAGTTTCTTCATTTTCAAAGGGTAAGCCATCAGTGGGAAGGGCTTCCACTTTGCCCGGCGCTGAAACGGCTAAAATCTTTTGCCTGTACTTTTTGGCCATTGCTTCCGCTTCAGAAAATACTTTCTGCAACAAATAAAAAGTAAAATGCAAGATGAACGCTCGTAGCTTTCATGCAATAGAGATCTTTGTATCATAGATATGGAAAATAAAACGAGGAAGTGAAATGGATTTCTTAATACTAATACCTCCTTATTTGATAAAAATAGACCCGGCTCACTTTCAAGATCAGCGATGCTACATGCCATAAGAATTAGATTGAATTAGAAATTTAGCACTCGTGTAGCAGCTACTTCGAATCAGCAAGAGAAACAGTCACGACATAAAATATTTTTTGATCGTTCAGTTAACTCTGTAAAGAGAAATTCATGGAGAGGGTTACATTTAGGAAACAGCAAATAAAATGCCCCAAATACTCCAATAAATCTCATGACATCCTACATTTGAAAAAAAATCTGCAAAATGGGATTTCTTAAAAGTACGTAACAAGAGAGAATCAAATTCCAAGCACAAGGGGAAGTCGAAAACCCCACCTCCCTTCTGAAAAAGAGTATTACAATTAATTATCACTAACAAACTTGTGCTGTTCTCAACATATCCTCCATCTATTTAAAGAATCCAAAAACTTTTAACAGCCAATTAATTAACGTATCAAGTAAAATAGTGTCATTTGCAAAGCAATCGAATAAGAGAGCATCAGTGTACCTGAGAGAAATTTTGTCAGGAAACATAGACTTCACAACCAGAACTTTAACCTTCTCGTCAACTGCTAATAGGTCAGTAACAGAAGTAATTCTGCCTTTGGTGATGTTTGAAATATGCAGCAATCCACTACAAAAGGGTAAAAGGACGAGGTAGTTATTCTAGTAATCCACAAAGAGGACACAGCTAGGTTCCTCTGTCAATTATCTATTGTCAATACATTTTTATTTTTTAAGCATAATCTTCGAAAGAGGCGAGGAGCATCAACAAAATTTAGAATTTGAGACCAAGAGTTAGCTCCACATTAACTTCCCCAACTGATTATAGGTGGTTGCAAGTTTAGTCTTGCTTTGGTTGATCAGCATACTTAATGACAGGAAAAGGTTTACCGTTTGTGCAGCAAAATACCACATACAAACCAACAAATTGAGTTTATCAACACACTCATCTCTTACGCTCTAGGGTTATGTGCCACCCTTCTATTCTTACTACTGTCACATATCCTTCGGCGATCTTTCTTAGAGCTGCCCAATTCCTGATCTTGATTGATCCAGGCATCTGGTAAGCCCTAGATGTCTGATAGATTAAGGTCTTCCTTGGTTGATATTCTTCAAATCTAGATATCTTCCCCTGCTCTTTCAGATTTTCCATTGTGTTGCTGCCAATATGTCCAACAAAGGTGATAAGACCCTTTCTGAAAGCTAGTGGTCTCTTCTTCTCTGATATTCAACATACAACCTCACCTGTTCATGTTAAATTGGATGGGGCTAACTACCATGTGTGGTCTAAAATTCTAGAGATAGATATTGTGGGTTGAAAGAAAAAAAGCTATATCACAGGACGGAAGGTTGCATTGCCGGGGAATGATTCGAGGTATGATAAATGGGAGGTTGAAGACATTTTAGTCAAGTTTTGGGCTCATACGTTCCATGAGTGACAACTTGATGTCTCATTTTGTACAGTTTGGCACTGGTATAAAAGTTTGAGATGCAGTAAAAAAGAGATATTTTGATGTTTTCGACTCTTAACAGGTATATGAATTGAAGAAGTTGTTCCATTGGTGTCAAGGTGGGCAATCTATTGCTAAATACTACAATGAACTTAACTCCATATTCGTGGAACTTGATTATCAGCGAACCAATCATACGACGTGCAGTCAATATTGAGAAGCAGAGAGCTTATAGTTGATGATCAGGTTTATATGTTTCTTGTAGGTCTTGACCAGAACTTGGATCAAGTTAGTAGTTGTGTTTTGGCTACCTCTGCTCTTCCACTAAAAGAGACCTACTCACTAGTATGTCATGAAGTATGGAGGCAAGTTACTATTGGTATAAGGTCGTCTGTGAGGCTTTGGCTTTGGCTATCCAGAAGAATAACTAGCATTAGAAACTTCAGCTACTTCTACTGGCTGCTGCCACAGTGCTTTACACATAATTGATGTTTGCTGGAAACTAAATGGTTACCCAGAGTAATTAAGAAATAAACAAGCTAAAAAGAAGAAGATATCTGCTCAGGTTACCACCACTGATGCCTCTCCATTTTCCGCTTCTTACGAACCTCAAGTAATCCTTCATACAGTACAATCTAACCAAGATGACTATTGGAATCGATAGAAATGGGGCGATTTTTACTACTTGAAGTCACAATCAGAGTCAAGCAACAATTTTCAAGTAGTGGGCCATTCTGTAACCATCCAAGTTGGGCAAGTGTGCAATTGATGGACCAACTTGACGAGGATAGATATTGAAAAGTTAGAATAGGAATTATTGAAGTATTTCCATCTATAGCCAATATCCTAAATTAATTAGAATTGTACTCCTATTTATGATTGTTTGAGTATGTAGTATGTAATAAATCATTCAGCCTAAATTCTACCTACCTCTTAAATGAAATTAGCAGTTTGTCTTACCTTCATAAGGAAGTAAAGTAATATGCAGATTTATTTGTTTGCAGCACCAATCTTTTTATTGTCACATCTATAAAAAGTTAATCTAGCTCTCTTATTATCAAGAGAACAAAAAATGAACCCAGCAATTAATTATTTATCAGCATCAAGTGGAAAACTAAATTATGAAAGATAATTCACTAAATCAACAATTTACCTCCTATTAGTATCACCTATCCTTATCTGAGCACCATATGGAAAGATTTTCCTAACAGTTCCTTCTAGAAGTGTTCCTTCTTGAAGATGCAACATTCTCTGTCACATTGTATAGCCAAGCAAAAATCATCAAGGAAAGAAGCGAAAAAATAAAATTAGTCATACTGAAAAGAGCCATTAAGAAAATAATAACCCCCAAATAAAAAAGGAAGTGATGATTCATAGTGAAAGACCAACCCAAGCTTCCTTCTCGCTGAGTATTAAGTCATTGGTATCTGAATTCATTCTGGTAATTTGCACATATATTCGCCGTCCCACCTGCCATATCAAGAAATAACTTGTAAATGGGTGCATGTGAATTAAGGTGGCATTTGTCTCTATGAGATACGACTTATTTCAATAAAAAACACGAAACAGGATTAACAGTGGCACTTCTTCCACAAACATAATTTCTGACAGTGAAATAATCCAATATGGCCCTTAAATGAATTTGGAATAGTCTGAGATGGAGTTATTTGAACCCTGGTTAATTAATTTTTATATATTTGAAAAAATACAGATATTAATTCTTAGCCATGTCTTTGCATTATCCAGCCAATGAATAATGTCTATACTAATTTATGGAACATAATCACTATCCTTGGAACAAAAACTAGCGCACGAAAAAGATAAGGCATGCAAAAGTGCACTTTGACATACATTCTCTTTCAGTTGTGTGAAATTGTTAACTCTATTAATCAATTCAGCTTTTGGAATAAAAGCCCTCAGCCCCTGCAAAACCAAGGTTGAAAGATTAGTGATATAGACAGGTAAATTCTTATATATATATATATATATATGTGTGTGTGTAGAGAGAGAGAGAGAGAGAGAGGTACTTCTATTCTTGTAAGGAGACCACCAGTGTTCCATTCAGTTATTTTAACCTCTATCGGTTCATTGAGCTGCTTAATCTGCACAAGATGAACAATCTTATACACCAGTTCTCCAACAAAGGAAGAAGACATGACTTGAAAAAGACTGAAAGATACAGATGAACCTCCAACAGCCAAAAATTGCAGGCACTTAGAAATTCCATAGAAACCTTACAGATAAAAAGTGAAAAAAGAAAACTTAGTGCTTATCGATAAATTTTAAGTTGCTGAAATTATATTGTGATAAAATGAGTGGTAGATAATTGAGTAGTAGTTGTGGGTCATGTGAAATGTACGGTTACAATTAAAGTTTTAATTTGACTTTAAATTATAATGTTCCCAAACAAGCACTTAGTTTACATAATGATACACACCCAATAAAGGAAAACGGAGATAATCAGCAGGGTCACAACCAACGCAGCAGATTAATTCCATTTTTAGCTCAAATGGTTAATAGTTAATTAGTTCAAAGGGGTGAATTAGGGAATTGAGTCTTGGAAGAGATATGCCAATAAATGTGATGGGGGAAGGGCTGCAGAATGCATGCAGAAAAGTAGAGTGTTGTGAGGAGAGTCAGGCCTCCAGAAGAGCTGGGAGTGTTATTTCCTTTGTTGTTCGAATTGTTCATTACATAATAATTGTTCTTACAATCTTCAATTCAATACATATATCCTTTTCACCAATACACTTCTCAATTACCTTTACATTCCAGTTAATACATCTACTACCTAACCAATCCAATAATCAGTAACGTTTAGAGTTGATTCACCAGCAGCAGCAATTCATTCATCAGTAGCAGCAGTAGGGGAACATATCACATAAGTTAATTTCCGCATTAGCATCCAATATTCAACCAAAGCTGTATCAACAACCCAACAGCCTCCATGAACCAACTTATGTTGACTCTTTTGTAGCCTTGATATGTCCATCATTCAATCAAAGTAACTGTGGAAAGTAGGGTGAACATAATGCAAAGTTTGCAAATGTATGGCATCGGTGATTGCCTAACAATTTGTAAAATCAACTCCTCAAGTAGGCTCCATTTGGATCTTGAACTTTAGTGGCAAAAACATGCTTTTGGTACCAGAGGAAACACGAGGCTATGGATGAACATAATTAAGGGAGATATTTTGCATTTTATACATTAATTTCCTTTAGTTCGCATGACATTCCATTATATTCAAGATATATTGAAATTTCATTTTATTCTCTTTTTTTCAAGAATATGCAGGGAAATTCATTTTCATTGATTTTGCTTATCATTCATCTTTCCTCAATGAAATCTGGGACCGGGATGGAGATGTGCTGAATTCTTGTAACTTCAATTTTAGTTGAATTGAACTCACTCTTGCCAATTAGCAACTTCCTAGCTACACCAGCTCTCTTTTTCATGCATCAGTTGGTGATAGATAAATTCAAAGGTGGTTGCACTTTGAGCCCGACAAAGACTAGCTTATGACAATAAGTCCATTCACAGCAGAAAAAATTGATAGCAAGAACAAGTGTCTAGACTGCAAGCTGTTTTCCTGTGAAAGTGACTGAAGGACTATTATTTTATTTGCTCGAATAAGGACCTGAATCCTCGATTGTTCAATTTCTTATCATTCAAATGTTCAAAATCTAGAGGCATAAAATCTCTAACATGCCACTTCATATCTCAGACGACACAGTGATATTATAAGAAAGCACTGCCTTGCCTATTCATATTGATGAGTGTAGTTCACTCATTGTTTTATTGCCTCTTAAACTTGTTATTTTGATTGTCTTTAAGAGTTTTTAGGACGTTTTAATGTTTGTTTTAATGTTGTTTTATAAGTTAGGTGAATTTGTGTGAATAGTGTAAAACTTGGAGAAACTAGTGATATTGGCATGAATCAAGGAGAAGTTGATGTTGGTTTGATGAAACCTGATGATTGAGGGCTAAATTGAAAGAAATAAGGGAACAACGATGAAAATGATGAAATTCAAA